GGGATCGCGTGAGTCATATATGTATGGTGTGTATGAATCGTAGATACGTATCATATGTATGAATCATACCCACAGTCTGATATCCTACAGACAGCAGTAATCACCCCTCCCTATTCTCAGGCCGCCTTATATATCAGTAGGCATGTGACTCAGTAGCTTAGTCATAAGTCCAGTAGCTTAAAGTATCTGGTTATGAGTCGTTTCGTAACGTCCTGGTACAAAGAAGATGTAGCGTAGCTCCAAGGTTTTCTCAACTTATCACTGCTGCTTCTACTACCTGTGGTTAGAGTACTCGTACTGTAACTATCCAACCTTCAGGCAGGTACACAACTTTACAAAAAATACCATTTTCATTTTTTTGATGTAGTGCCTAGACCAGTTTTTCATGAGGATTCTGATGTCTACAATTCAATTTGTCGTACATAGTTGAAACATCGCTTTCTTGAAGTTGAAAATGCGTTATGGAATCATATTACCTAGTCATATCTATACTAGACCTCTGGTCGCACCATTTCCCATGCCTGCCGCTGAAAGCAATTATCAGGAAGCTTTGCCGACTGCTGATGATAATGTTTCCTTAAATATCGAAATGTCTTCAGGTTAGGCAATCGTAGGATCTCGGCAGATTCTCCATTGACAGCTTCCATTACTTCATGGCTCAAAATGATCTCCTCACCATACCGATCCGCAATGTTATCCCTTACTTTGTAATGCATCTCTCCTTCGGCGATAGGTAGACCTGAAAAGAAGCAGAACTTTACGAACAAACTCCAGCAAGAGGGGGAACGGACCTGGACGGGGAGAGTTTCAAACTGTGTTGGATACCGCATTGCCATTTCGTCAAGCAACTCCTGCGTTGGATCTGGCAGCACACCCAATAAGTACTCTCTGTCAAGCTCCCAATTTGGATCAAGTTCTTCTTCCACGCTACAGCCCAAAGATGTAGCATCGTCAACACTTGATAATCGGGAAACCCTGGAATTCTTCCTACTCAACAAAGAGGCCCCAGCAATGCTTCTGGGGTTTCCACCAACACCAAGAGATTGAGCGACGCTGGCGTTGCTGCTTGACATATTTGATCTACGTCCGGAACCGAGGCTGGCTATKGTTGGAGCTCGTGATGAGTTCGAACTAGTTGCTTGAACTTCTTTCGGTAAACCGACAGCGGAAGGCAAGCAAAACACAACAAGCGTTCTGAGACCTTGCTGCACACTACCGGCATAAAAAGGAGCTCCACCAAGGATAAGTTTTCCAGTGAAGTAGCATCGTCGATTGCCTCCACGCCCTGATTGTCGATGATGTTTCCCTACAGCGTAGTATGCCATTCTTCTGTTTTCTGCGATTTTTGCAGTGGCCTCACCGTAGGACGAGCGCATTGTTAATTCTGATATGCACCTTTCCAATTCTACTGCTTGGTTGGAATTCAACTCCAAGGATTTCAGTGGAAGAGGACGAGGGAGTATCATTGACGGTTTTTTCTGTTCCTTCCGCATCATCATGACTTGATCAGGAGTGACTTCGTATGCTTCCTGAGGGCTCGTGTCGTCACCACCTGCACCGCTTTTGAGTTGACGCCGCTTGTGTCGTTGCCTCCTTCGATCAGCGGCTGTCTCTACCGTGTTCGTGGATTTTTCATCACAGGCTACAGTGTTATTTTTGTTCGAATCATTGGGTGGCTGAAGACAAGGATTTGGAGGTGCAAGTCTAGAAATCCCCAAAGGCGTGTCATCTTCGCAATTTACAGAAAATGTGTCTCCTAGATTCCTTGGCTTACATGGCGAGCATACTGACTCAAGTAGATTCATCATTCTATTTTCGTTTTCGCCCACCTCTTTTGCAGGATCAGTTGTTGTATCTTCCAGGCATTGAATATTGTTCCAAACTCGACCCAATGTCACTTGCACCGTTCCCATTGGCTCAATCCGATGCTCGTCACTGTCTGTTGGTGGATTAGATTCATGTGAAGATTTTGTGGATGCTGTATCTTGGCTTTGATTATTTGAGTTATTGCCAACAGCTGGCTTCGAAGGAGGCGTACCGAATCTCTGGTCAAGGTTGGTCTCGTTGTTTTCCTCTCCATACAAGACTTTAGGTTTGTTTGATGCCTCATCAGCTTCATCGCTACTGAACGAATGAGTGGGACCCCAAATCACAGTTTTCGATCGAGCAGCACTCTCTCTCGTCTTTCGGAGCCACTGTGCTTTCCCTCTATTACTATCGCTTTTTTTCATCTCGATGGCACTATCTTCGGGTATTGCATGCGAACAAAGCCAAGACATATTCATATCAGAACCACCCGATCCTAGCAAACGCTCATACATTGATTTGTCACCGGACAAGTTTGGCATGTTTGTTGTACGATGGAGTAATTAAATCCTGATGAAAGTACAACGGAAATATCATCTAGTTCTCCTTTTTCTTTCCGACAGAGCTGTGTGGAAGCGTTCCGTACTCGTGCACTGCTTTCCCGATGTTGTAGTAATGGTGTCTCTTCGGCTAGACTTCGGCTCGTGACGAATGCGAATTTCACTACGGTACCGTACGTAAGTACTAGTAAGAAGACAATACTTAGGTTTTGTCTGGAGTCTCTCTTTGCACGACTCTGAATCTTGTCGGGCGCGCATGTCACTCAAAAAAAGGTCGGTGGGCACGAACCAAGTTTTTTACTTCCATAAAATTAAATCATACAAACCTCGAGCCTGCGTGTCACCTCGCGTCGTCAACGCGCGACTATTTTTTCAACACATTTTTGTGTTATTTCCGGTACCATACTGTATGATACTCGTATTATTATGCTTCGTACCGTACAAGGTATGTACTAGTAGTAGTACTAGTATAGTACAACTAGTACGAGTAGTGGTGAAGAACAAAAAGCAGTGCAAACTGCTGGATGTGACAATGACAACGACAGATAAGTACTACTGTACAACAGCACTACTAGTACTACTAGTAGAACTACAACAAATTGTTTGAAGTACTAATACTAGTAGTAGTAATAACAAAGGACAACAATTAGAGGGGCTTGTAACAGGAGTATGTGACGTAGTAGTAGTATTACTACTCTAAGATTACTCGTTATACTAGCAGTAGCTATTGATTTGACATAAGAAGCTCTGAGGCGGATGAAGAATCTATTTTAAATACGAAGTATTGGTAGCGGCTGGACTAAAGATGGTAGGGGCTATTGCTCCGGAGGTGACAACCGGCATATTCTCCAAAAGTTGAACTAGTACGGTATCTGTCCATCAACAGCCCAGTGTTTTTAGATTCCTTTTACTTGCTTGTTCAAAGCGTTTGCTTGGAATCAATTAGGCTTCTTCACTGTCGATCGCCACAAGGACTGTGCATGATGACGAAGCTAATGAACACAGTTAAACTCCTTATGCATACTAGTTATACAGCTTTATCACATACAAATCCACATTGGATGCACATTGTATGACAGCAGACCTTCCAAAAACGCCTTCCAAAGGAATAAATGCGGAGGTCTCGTTGAATGCAGATGACCACTATACCTCATTTCCAGATTCAGTGCCATCTTCGTCTTTCGTTGTGGCTTGTTGTAGGGAGTCCCCGTCTGTACCGACAGTTGATTGGTCGTTTATTCCGCTTATCTCGGCTTCAACGAGAGCGTTCAAACTTCTAGATATTGCCCAATCCGCTGCATCTGCAGCTCCTTGATCCCTTGTGTCCGACTCCTGCCTCGATTGTTCAGCAATTGCCGTCCATATTTCAGCTTGGGCTAACGCTTCTTGTTCCTCTTGCAAGTGTTTCAAACGACGCATTCTTCTTGTCTCATTAGATTCGACTTTGTTATCATTACTAGTCCCTTTTTTGTTTGATGCCGCTTGCACAACTCCTTTCCAATCTCCTGCTTCAATTAGTTCTTCAAGTTCATCTGCAACGTCGGCCAGGTTTTTTGATCCTGCTGCAGAAGATCCATCTGTTGAGACTCCGTCTGCATACTTGTTGATCTCATCAGTATCAGCAGATGTCAAACTGTTGGTATCTGTGAGTATCGCTGCTGCCTCTCCAACGGCATCCCAATCACCGGCTTCAATAGCAGCCTCAAGAGCACTCTGAGTATCTTTGGATCTTTCCTTTTGATCACCGGTCCCGGAAAGTGTTTCTTTCACATTACTTTTCTTTAACGGACTTTCAATTTCTCCAGTTCCCAAGCTTTTTGCTGTTGCCTTGGCAGCTGATACCTGACCCTTACCGATACTCTTACTTGATCTTGCAGGAATACTACTTTCTGCTTCTATTTTTGCAGCAGCTGACGTCAACTTGGCTTGTTGCTTTGCAGCTCGTTGCGAGCTACTGCGCGCTTTTTGAGCAACAGCACGTTCTTGCATAGTACGGAGTGTCTCGACCAATTCATCCTCACGGCCACGAAATTGTAGCATCATCTCATCGACATTTTGGATTTCTTCCGGCACTACTCGCTGGACTAAGTCTTCTACAATGGCTTTGTATTCTTGCCGTTTCAATCCCTTCGAACTTCCCACGCTCGAATCAGCTGTTTGGCCTGCAGTGTCTGCATTCGAACGTGTGTCACTTCCACTGACTGATTCTGAAGGAAGACTATCTTTGCTTTCGTCTCCCTCGTATTTGGCTGCTGCAAGAACGACTCCTTCCCAATCTCCAGCATCTACCAAGTGATCTAGTTCAGCAGCTCGGGCAACATCTAAACTTGATACAGACGACCCACTTCTTGACCGTGTTCCTGTATATTGTTCTGACTTAGACGAGTAAGACTGAGAATCAGAGGCGGCTGCGAGAAGAGCTGCGGTTGCTCCTACAGCTGCCCAGTCGCCAGCCTCTATTGCGGAATCGAGATCATCCCTAGTGACCGGCGGAAGGTTCAGTGCGTCACTCGTATCAATGTGTTCAGTCCGTCTTGCTGAGGAAGATTCTTGGGATATAAGTGGAAGGGTTGTAGCTATAGCTGGGATGGGTGATTTCTCAAAATCAAGTCCGTCTGCACTGCCAGTATTCATCGAATCAATGCCAGCGCTGCTAGACCAGCCAGAATCTCCTGCGTTAGAGGAAGAAGCGTCACCACTGTCAACATTTGACATGTCATCGCCCCCCGATTTGTTGTCTGATGTCTTCAAACCTTTGGGTTTTGCTGGATCGACAGCACTGGAGTCAACGATGTTAGCATCCTTCGTATTCAGTGTCAATTTGGCCTGTGAAGGTTCATTTTTCCCGTTCTTATCGAGTGTTAAGTGATCTGCTTGTGCCGGGAGAAGTTCTTCCGCTTCCCTGTCATTTTTGCCTTGTCTTCCGGTAACGAAGTAAGCTATGGCCACAACAAGAGCGAGCCCTACGACAACACCTACAGCTATTCCAGCGGTAGAATTGCCCCCTCCTTCTACAACCGATTTGAGCGCATTCTTGTCAACGATGTAAACGACGGTACTTTCTAAAAATTCTTGTAATCCACCGTCGAAGATGGCTTTCGACAGGTTGTCCTGAAATGTCTCAGCTATCTGGCCAGGGTTTGAGACATTTGGTTGAAAGAAAACAAGAACAGAGGCCGTAACACTTTCGCAACGATCTACAGGTGTCACCAGATTTTCTGGACAACCTGCCGGATATAAGAAGGTGCAGAGTCAAAAGAATATTAAGTGAGAATGATTGCGAAAAACCTCTCGAACACGTGCACTGTGTTGACATATTTAGCTTACCAATCAAAGTTTTATCTACGATGGAAGTCGGCAAGAATACAGTTGGGTCCGTTTGAAGGGAGCGACCCACACGTAGTTGCCTTCTCGACATTTCTTGGAGAACCGTTGGTGCCAGTGAATCCATAGCGTTGACAAGTTCTTCGCTGTAATCTTCGAAAGTTGTGTCAACTCCTTTGATACCGATTGAATATGATACAATGACTTCTTCCTCGACAACTGGACCATCATCCACTGGAGCCTTCGATGGTGGAGAGGATGCAATACCGGTGGGAGCGGGGGAAACTGAGGATGGATTTGGACTGATCACTGGAGCTGCTGACGGTGAAATGCTTTGCATAACACGATCGATGGACATGCTTGTCTGAGAACAGACTAAGAAGAGAAACGACTTCTCATCATCACTAAGGTTATCTGCCGATTGCATGCCATACGTTTCGATACCGGTGTTCGGACCTACACAAGATTCCACACAGTCGTATGTCAAATCAGGATCGCACAAACAAGCCAACACGTAGAAGTTGGTTGTTAGTATTAACGGCAATTCTTCAAATTCAGTGGTGTTTTTCAGGAATCCATCAGGACCGTACGCTTTCACGAAGTCAACGTATTCCTCTGGATCCATCTTTTGATTGCCATCCTTCTCGCTAGCAGATGCTTTGATCGCAGAAAAGCATTCCTCAGTGTCAACAAAATCACCAATTGATAAACTGGTAGTATTGAAGATAGAAGACTCAGCGGTTGCTGCAGAAACTAACATGCCAAGGAGGCAAGTTAATGTTCCTTTCATATTGATTGTCTTTACACTGAATCGAAATAGTGATCGATACAGATCACCTATCCTTCAATACAGTTACTGATCCTACCAACAGTATTCCGGAGGGCGGGGAGGTAACAACAAAACGGCAGCCACTTGTGGATTGATAGGCTTTAGCGTGTTTCAGCTCTCCAGGTTTCTCTCTTTCTGTGGTGTGGGCTCCCAACGTTACCAATGCTTCTATGAATCCTGAATACAGCTCTGAAGTTGTCAAGTATTAACACTCCCCACCGAAAGTAAAACAGCCAAGGACTATAGCCACGATGTGCACCGTTCACCACTTGAATACACTCGTACCTTGGTGGGTGTTGGAGAGGTGGAGAAAGCGTGAACAACTCGATTTTGTGGCGCGCCAGGCCAAAATTTCGGTCACAACATATGCGTCAACGGACATCAACATGTATTTGATGGTCGCGCATAAAAATTTCAATAGGGATTTTAAACAACACCTTAGAGTGATTGTTAAAAAAAATGATTTTATTTTCGTCGGATCGTGAGAGCCTGAAAAATTGATTGATTTGAGGCGCTGAATGATGCAGTACTACAGTAATAATATGAATTTACAGTATTGTACTGTGCTTCAGTACTGTGCTTCAGTACTGTGCTTCAGTACTGTGCTTCAGTAGATGTGGGTGCTCGTAGCGTACGTCCAATACTTACTAATTGCACAATTGTACTGTAACAGCGCACCGTACGTAACAATCCAGAAAGACATGTACTTGTCTTGTACCAGGTACTCGTACTCGTAGCATACCGGTCGAAGTAGATCTCTGGCGCAGGTACGTACTTGGTACTGTACTGTAAGTAGAGTAAAATTACTGAACAAACCAATGAGAACACAAAACGGCATGATGCGAACGAGAACGAGAACGAAATTCAATTTTTCGGGTACGAATACTGTAACGTGAGTTGTGTTTCCCTGTTTCTTGCATCAAAATTCGGCCACTAGCTATCGTACTGTAATTTTGGTTACTAACCAGGTCTACCAGTAGGCCCCTTTAAAGCATCCCATTAGTATGGGTTCCCAACAATGACACAGACATCTAAGTAAATATCAATAAGGACTGGACACACAGTCTGGTGGTCTAGAGCTGTTTTTGGGTCACTTGCTGGCCTATTTTGTAACACACAGCCAGTCTCCGAAATCACAAAAGAATCTGGACATGTGACGTACTACTACTGCTGGCTGTTGCCGCTACTAGTAGTAGTAGTACTAGTAGTAATACTAGATGATGAGCATACCACTAGTCACTGAGGACCTATTCATTAGGAAACTGGTGGCATACACACATTTCACCAATGCTAAGACAAAACACATCTCCAAGGGAAAAGTTACTATTAGAGGCCATTAAAGAAGAGTTCTAGTACTAGTAGTAGTATTACTAGTAGTGGTCTTGCCACACCAACAAACACTGTTTTGTCTATTGATCAGAAAACTACATACTACATAGAACTGTGTAGAATCCAGCACAACAAAGGAAAATTTGCCACATGATGTTTCATCTGAAATACAAATATTACAGAAGAAACAGTTTTGGAAAATTAATTTACAACCAAATCATCCTCAAAAACAAAACGAAAAATCTTAATATTACATTTAACCTTGTGGACTAGAAGAGGCACTATATGGCCAGAACCATAGCTTTTGGTGGAAAGTGGTGACACTTCTTAGTTGTTTTGGAAGCACAACTGGGTTCTTGTTCTTGGTTGGGCTGGGGGATCATGTTAGATATTTGCTCAAAGGAGTTTGAATTGTACGTTTGATTGTGGCAGAGACAAAAGAAATCTTTGGTTAAGTGGAGGATTTGTGTCGTTTCTTCTTGGAGTACACGTCAAAGACCAACCCATCTTGTGTGACGCTCTCCAGTGTTTGTTTGCTATGAGGCAAATGTGAAAAATACTGAGTAATAGGGTGTGTGTTGGAGACAGAGGCAAGCAACAGTTTGCTGACACTCCCTAGAATAGTTTTCTTGTATACTTGGTGGTAGTATGTGAGCATGGAAGTAGGTTCAGTAGATAAGAAGGTTTCCATATCTTCTGGGAATAAGTGGGGGGCATGCAATGGACAAGTCTGTGGTTCCAGGTCAAACAGAGTGTGGACTTTCATAAGCGCTCACTGTCAATGTTTTTCTTGCTGCTGCTGAGAAAGAGTGTGACCATGGAGATCTTTATTTCTCTGTTCCCATATGAGATATAAAGTAAGAAAGAACTCCACAAGATAGCCCCCCAGCACAAGTGGTGGGGACAAAATCAAGAAAATAGAGCATGCTAATCATGCAAATAAGATTCCACACACTTCATTTGATGAGCCTCTTTGGGATTTGCCATTATGGTTTGGGGTAAGGCTCCTATTTGGAAAAATCTTTCAAACTTGACGATGAATAAATCTAATTAATCATTCCTTGCTACTAGTGATACTAGTATGCAATCCTACAAGCCAGCCATTCTTATTACAGGATTTAAAAAAAGCTTAATATTATATTGCACTATATGGCCAGAACCAGAGCCTCTCCGGACTAGGGAGATGAATGCTCCTAGCTGCTCCTTGGGGCAGCACCTCCCTCTGAGGAGGTTTTGTGGAGGCATGACCAAGTTTTATGCACACTGACAGACCAATGAAGGCCTGGGGCTGGATTAAGACAACATAAAAKGAAAAGTCTTGGTGGAATACTGAGGACTGGGGTTGTTGTTGCTGCTGTCCAACACGAATGTTGGAAACAACAACAACAACAACAACAACAACAACAACAACAACAACAACAACATGACTGGAATCTTCTTACAGTCTGTAAATACTGGAACTGGTATGGAGATAAGGCTGGTGAATCTTCTGTTAAACTGAGTATGATGTAGCATATACTCCAGGTGTTGTTCTTCAAAGGATAGGTCTTGGTTGAATACTGGAGGTTGTTGTTGTTGCTGTCCAACACAAATGAGAAATGGAGATGGATCCATCTGAGGCAAACTGCACTCATTTGGTGTGGTTAGTGGAGATACCAAGCACATGATGAACTATTGGATTGCTTTAATGGACCTTGGATTGTTGTTGCTGCTGTTGAACACAAATGTCAGAAACAAGAACTTTGTGACTGGAAATCTCTGGGGCTTCTGGTATGTAAATACTGGAACTGCATGGAGATAAGGCTGGTGAATCTTCTGTTAAACTTAGCATTTTTCTCATCCATCCAAAACTGTGATGCTACCCATCCTGGTTCTCTAGTACAAGCAACTGATTGAGCTGGTTCCTCTTGGAAAAGAACAAAACCCTCTATGGGCTATCTGGTAACCTCACCATGTTAGGGAGCTCTCCTGGTACCAATACAGCTCTGTAGAGGCTTTCACCAAAACATCAAGGAGTATATAATGGAAAAATTATTTGCATTTTCAAACTAAATACAATACTATTTTTGACACAGCCTACTGCTTCACAGCAGAAATTGCTTCTGGTCTATTCTGTGACAAAAACTCATATTTCATTCTTGGATTGAAATGCAAGCTTCTCAGATTCATTATTTTTTCTCTTTAGTATCCTTTCTTCCCCTTAGCTACATTGGGAAGCAGATTTTTACTTGTCAGAACCAAAAGTATTCCCATCTGGCAAGGATATGGTCAGTACGCAAATTTTTGATGATGCAAGACTTCTGTTTCTCTCAGTCACTCCAACGTGAAATTACTTTGCGGCAAAAAACGAAGAGAGTCCGTCCATTTTCACTTTCGCAACAGTTAAAACCTTCACTTACTCCCTTTCTCTTCTATGGCACTGCTGGTGTTTCTCTGTTGCTTGCCCGCGTCTCCTGAAGGGATCGCACCAAAAAATGTCTTTTTTCCCAATTCGTCTTCAAAACTTAAAATCTGCGCCTGTGTTGTTCGTAATACCACTATGGTGTTCTTTTCTTAAAAGTTAGGAATCACTATGGTTATGCCCCCAGTGTCGTGATGATAGCAGAACATCCATGAAGCTTAGAAATCATCCTAATCGACGAACTGAAAATATTATAGCATTGAATCTATGAAATGTTCAATCAACCCGACGCTATTCTCGTCAAAAGAGCGAAGGCCAATGCTTTTTGTTCTGCGTTGACATGGAGCAACAAAAATTTCATTTTTTTCATCAGTTAAAACAAATCGCACTCTTCTCCGCAGTTCCTGAGTTCTGTGCTTTTTGCTACTGCTAGCTCCGTCAAAGCTGTTTTGTGTCGAAGCATTCCTTCATACAACAATTGAAGTCGGTCGCACGTGTTAGTGCACTCGTAAAGAGCTTCATGAATTTCCTCGGAGCTTAGGTACGTCTGCAACGATTGCAAAGTGCACCATGACAAACACTCATATTCAAACTCTTCTGACTGCAATCGTTCAGGCGAATAGTATTTTTCTAGTCTTTCCATGATTATATTCACCATCGACGGTAGGGGCACGTACGCGCTAGAAGTTGTGCCCAAGCCATAGTTATCTAGCTCTATGCACCTAGCTGCAGATGGTGAGAGGGGAAGTGAGTGCGTTGGTATGGACAGTGACCCCCTCTCATCAGTGTCGTATTCTCGAATGAATTGATTCAGTACACCATCTAGGTCGTAAGAATTCGATTCAGTTGATGTGTCCGTTTCTTGATTGGCATTGAGGGACCCAATACCGTCCCAGTCAGCCCATTTCTCCATGGCTATTTCAAGTCTTGACTGAGCAGCCTGTAAACCTCTGACAATGTGTTGTCGATCGTCGTGTAGAAGCCTGACACGCTGAGCAAAGCTAGATATACGATTCAAGGCATGGACAGGGGACGACTTTTTATTTCCCTCTTTGTCAGAGTCCAACAGTAACCCCATGCGAGCGACAAGCAAAGGCTCTGACTTGAAGCTATTGATATCGGTGCTCCCTATACATTGATTGTCGTCATATTCAAAACCGCCTGTCAAGAATTTAGTTTGATGATGACTGATTTTAGCTCTCCCGATAGCAAATAATCGTACTTTACTAGAATCACTGTAGTAGGGCGAATTCAAACTCGCCAATGATTCTCGAAAGCTTTCGGAATCACTCGTATCGATCGAGCCGACATTCTTTGTTAGAATCCCTTCAACAGCAGCAATTGTTGCGTAATCTTTCCCCCCATTGTGAAGAATAGCAACCAATGGGGATTGATCTGTTGTGGCAAGGTTGATTTTGCTCATCACCATTTCATTGGTATTCGAAACTGTCGTTGATATCCAATTGAAGATAGAGCCACCGTGTTTTGCTTCGACAGATGCCTCAATTGTTTTCCACTGTAAAGGAGTAGGTGGATCTAACCATATTGAATCGCCGACAATTATTGGTTTGTGAACGTTCAAGAGAGGACCAATGATTGGAATTTCCACTAACTCGTTGGTATTGCTATTGGGACTCACTTGCGATGGAGCTGTGATATTTCCATCAGGAGATGATACACTAGAACTGGCAATCCTGGTTATTATTTTCTTCGAAATGGAGGAAATGGCTTTTTCATGATGAAAATTCCATCCAATGGCAATGCTAGGGTCACGATTTTGACTCTGAATCGGCGATAAAATAAATGACGATACCCCCAGTTCGAAGATCGTTGTAATAGTCATGACGTGAAGCAGCCATTTAAATTTCGATGATCTGGTCATCTTATTTTTCTACCGAGACAAAAGTCGTGATGAATTCAAACATCTTTGTGTTAGTTAGATGTCCCTTGTTCTGATTCCATTATTTCATCTCGAGCGGGGGATGAAAATGAATTGTCGACATCATAATAATTGGAAGATAGCACCATACGTACTCGTACGTACTACACAGATGTTAGAAGTAATAACATCATGGACCATTCCCGCTAATAGAAATGCAAAACCGCCAGATTTAGCACGTTTAGCATATATTAACGGTTCGTACCGGCCGGTACAGTACGTACCCGTCACTACGTGTTTCGTAACAATTGAATACGGTCACCCCAGAGAGCAAAAAGTAATAACTTCAAGTTCTAAACTTCGATTTGAAGTTATGAACTTCAAATGTCCTGGTAGAAAGTCTACAAGGTTCTACTGAGCTAGTTTTTGGATGGCATTCATGATTGAAAGGCCGGAATCATGATTGAATCACCTCAGAACCATTTTTTTGTTTTTAGGGGCCCCGGGAATCGATTCGGCCATTCAGCAGTCATTTTAAAAAACTAGTAGCTCAGTAGAACCTGGTACATGATGTACAAGCAAAAGTTCATAACTTCAAATCAAAGTTTTGAACTCGAAATTATTACTTTTTGCTCTCTGGGGCGACCGTATTCAATTGTTACGAAATGCGTAGTAATCAAGATTAGGTCTTTTGCGGTTCGCTGCAAGTGGAAGTCGAAATGTAATCTTATTAAAATAAGGGGGTCTCATTCCCTTAACTTTATATTTTCTCAAAGGAACAGCTGCTCATTTTGTACTACCCTTTCGGGTCCAAAATACGACGTGACAGCTTTTTAACAATAGGGATTTTACAGAGATCTACACAGGGAACAACAATAGTCGTCTTAATCCAGACTATGCACTACTAGAAGCTGTCACTATTTAAAAAAGAAACCATTTAACATCGATTCTGAGGAGTTGCTGGTACAGAGCATGCACACAAGCTGATACAGAGGATGCTGTGTGGAGGACAATGATACAAAGGAGCTCCTGATATGCTGGAGGATTCTGCTGATATGGAGGATGCTGATACAGACGAGCTACTGATACAGCAGACAAACTACTAATATGGATGAGCTGCTGATGAGCCATCTGCAACTGCTCTTTTTTGCTATTTTGATGAGCTTCTTTTGTTGCAATTTTTGTTGATTTTTCATTGCTTGTCCTGCTAGTATTAAAGTGTTGTTCCTCAAAACCACTTGGTTGATTGATCAACAACTTCTGGATCCTCCTCCCCTTAATGTAAGGATTAGAACACTTGTCTTGTGAACGTGATTGGTTGGATATTGATGAAGAACTAAAGAGGTGAAAGCTTGCTGAGTTGGGGTTGGTGATTAAATGAGAGTTTTGTAATTTCGGTACTGACAGAATCAAGAAGCCCGAAAAGGTTTTTGAAAAGAACACCCAGCAATGTGCACATCTATGTGAAGAGAAAAGAAAACCCTTTCCGACTGACAGATTCTCTAATTCTGATTGCTGCTTTGTTAGCATTAACAAACAAGCAAAGATAGCTAAAAGCTGGCGCATTTAATTCTACTCATAACCTGTTAGAAATCAATAGTCTTATTTTGAACTCAAACAAGTACCCTGTACAAAAAAAAATAACTTGTTACCGCATTTTTGGTGTTTTCACCCCCTCAGACTCCCTTTTCCATGAACTATTACAGTCAAGAAAAAACTATTCTAGTATTATTTTTCTTTTTGACTTCCATGACTTCAACAGACAGACTGAGAGGACTGTTGGCTCAATACCAGTCTTTTTGGGAATCTGGAATCTTAAGTATAGTTCCACGGAAAGACTGAAAAGAGGCTTTTGTGCCACTTGGTACAAAGAAAGAAAAAACATGGATTTTTCAGTCCTTCTTACTGGTAGGCTAGTGAAAGGAACACAAACATGTTTTTAATCAAAAATATGTGTGTTCCTTGCACTAGTATTAGTAGACACACTAGTATTAGACCAGAGTTTCTTCCTAGCAAAAAAAAAGGCCATAATGGGAGTCATGGAGACCATAACTATCATATACTGGTACATTCAGTTGAATGACGACCAGCAGGAGCAAAACAAAAGTTATCTACTACAAAAACATCTTCAGAAAAGAAACAAGAAGGAGGGACAGGAGGGTGCCTACTAGGATTGCAATTCATAGATATGTTCAATCCTCCTTCTACCATCTGTTCCACTCAGGGCTTGATCAAGCACTCCTCAACTGCTGTGGTGTAGACCACAGGTTCTTCAGAGATCTCATTGAAGTCTTTGCTCCAGTTATGACAAGTATACCCTCAACAACAACAAGGTTGTAGAGATTGTTACTTGCCATTCCAGTAGAAAGCCAGAGCAAAAGAGGAGGGAAGTCAATGCAATCTGTGCTATTGGGATGGTCCTCTATTGGTTCAGGACAAGAGGATCTGTTGCAAGATCAACTGCCATGGCATCTAGGTTGACATCCACAGTGATGTACAAGTGGATCAAGATTTCCAGGAGAGTGCTCCTTCTTCCTTGTCCTTCACAAACATCCACATGCCATGGTGAAGTGTTCAAAATAAGAAAGAAGTGGATGATTATATTCATGCCATTGCTGGAAACAAGTACTATCCACCAAGGCTTGGAGATCAACGCATTTGGGCTGCAGCTGATGGACTCAAGAATGTCATTCATCAAGCATCCCAAGACTGGTACAAACAAAGAGCATTCTAAAACACCTGGAAAGAAAACACCTTCATAGACAGTATCTTTCTCTTTGCCCCTGATGGAAGGATCAGGATTTCAGTCTTCAACTGCCCAGGGGCCTGGTAGGACAGCACCATCTCTGATCATGGTGTCTACCAAAGGCTTGAGCAGGTCCCCGACCACTTCAGAGCAAAGGTTGTGGTGGATTCAGCCTTTGCCTGAAGGAAAAGGAGCATATCCTAATCAAGAGCTCACATAACAACCCTGAGAAGGACAACCTTCTTCTGTTGAATAGGGATGTCATGTCCTTGAGACAGATGTCTGAATGGGGCATGAGGATGATTCAAGGACAGTTCCTAAGGATCAAAGACCCAATGATCTTTGAAGACCATGGTGGAGAGAGGAGGATCATCAAGAACCTACTCATCAACTTGTACAACTTTGAGTACATGGCAATTGATTCACTCACAACAGGATCCCCTATGGTGAAAAGGAGCAATGGTTGGTTTCAATAGGCTGTGTTTAGTGCTTTGTTTGATCAGTACTCTTGCAATATGGGGAGTATCATCCAAGTAGTGAACTGTGTAGGGGGTGAGAACAAGCTGCAAGCTGTATCAGTTTCCTTTTCATTTTTGTGTATTGTATAAATGTGGCTCAAAAATTGATGATCCAATTGTCAATTTTGGGCCCTTGTTTTTGCATGTAATGACTAGTTTGACTTTAAAAGCTATTCACATTGATGATAATACATGTGCTCAGTACTACCAGTATTTTTTGGTGAATTTTTTAATCCCCACCACAGTTGTGCGAGCAAAATAGTTTCACTCCCATGTACACTGTAGCCCAGTAGAAGTCAAATTTTAATCCCGCAAGCCATTGCATAGTAAAAAGATAGCCCAAAATTGACACACAGTGGTAAAGCATGTAGAAACTTAACTAAGCGTCAACTTGCTGTAACAGCTATGTTGGTCCTAATGGAAGCTTAAGTATGGCAAGCACATGAATGAAAAGCCAATTTAAAGAGTTTTCTGGTTGTATGGGGGAGTTGGGGGTTCCTAGTGGTATTTATTGAAATTTGTGTATGTATATGGAGCATAAAAAATGTATGATTAAATTGGCTATTTTTGAATTGCCATGGATATGATACCCTTCTTGAGCTAGCCTTGTTTGCTAGCCACATTTGTTAATACATAGCAATGTAATTTTATACAATGATTTATACTGTAATGAATACGAGTTCACAATTATACTGTAATGAAGACAAGTCTATGATACACTAGTACATGTTTATGCCAATGTAAATACATCAGGAGGCAGGAGGCCTTAAGAATGGTAAGGAGGACCATTGTTGCTGCTGTTGCTCTGCCACTGTTGGAAATGATTCATAGCCATTCCCAGAGCATCCACCCACATCTGATTAGTCTCCTTGGCTATTTCACTAGTCTCTCTAGCTCTCTCACAGTTCTACTTGTCTCTTTCTTACTAGCTCTTAAGGTACTCATTGAAGGCTGCAGCATCTGGAACACTGGATTTCTTCTGCTACTGATTCTTGGGAGTAGGAGTGAATTCTACAAGAGATAGTGTCAACATCAACAATTCAGCAGTAAATGCTCCTCCAGCACCAGCAAGAACAGTCAATGCTCCTCTAGCATCAGTGGCAGTCAGTTTGGCTCCTCCAGTCAATGCTTCAGCTGAAGCTAAACCAGTTGAGTTGATGCTTCAGACGGGGGCTCCTGACTCTTAATGAAGCCTTGCTCCAGATCAAAGTCCTCCTCTCCAGTACCAAGATTTTCCTTTTGACCAATCAAGATATGCGCCTTGCATGCCATCTTAACATACTTGTCTGGGATGTTTAAATTTCTGGTTGAGCTCTCAATCCTCTTCAAAGCGGCATACTTAGTCCTTGATACATACTTTGCCACAATGCCATCCAAATCATCTGTACGAATTGGGAGCTTCTCCAGTATTGATCCCTTAAGAACCGTAAGCTCATCCTTGAAGTAGTTTGCTACACCTGCCTTGTAGCTGGCGGTTGCCATTGTTCTTGTTCTTGTTTAGGATACCTGTGACTTAATTTTGTCAAGTTCTGTCTTACTACTACAATTCTGGCAGGCTTTCTGTTGAATCTTACAACTGACTGAAATTTTTGATTCTTTAGTTCAATCATATTTTTTTGCTTTTGGAACTGGTCAAATCATCAGTTCCAAAAGTAATAAAATTTGTTGTAGATGTAATAAATTTTTGGTCTGTCAGTCTATCAAAAGCAGTACATTTGTAATAATGGGAATGTCCCAATAGGTCATTCCTGCATACATAATAGTAAATCCACATGTTTGCAGGAATGTTTTTGATAGTATTGCAGACAT